TGCTGTTGGACTTCTCAGAGGTAAGTGATGAAGTCACTGATGGAACCCTTAAGCCTGGAATTGTTCCACACATATTGCTATGTAGTTTAAACATCGTTTAGGCAAAAATCTTAGAAAGAAAGACTAGTAGTTCTTTGCATGTCTTTCGTCCTCTACATGTTCAGGAGCTCAAGGGGAATATAAGACAATCATCTTAAAAAAGAAAGAGCGAGAGAGAACTAGTTCTAATGTCCCCATGCAAGGATATAATAGGTTCTCTTGCTAATGGAAACCAGCACCTTTAGCTTCTGTGCCTTTTCATCACTAACAAATAGAAAGGAATCATGTTTTCCACTGAAGACACAGGTACTTCAAAGGAAACAAATGTGACAAGACAGGAGGGAAAAAGTAAGTTTATTTTCAGCAGATAAAGGGTGGGAAAAAAAGGGGAAACTATGGTCACTGTTACTTTCTTTTTTAAAGTGCAGTAAACAAGTTAGACACAATAGCAATTTGAAAATGTTCTTTAAAGAGACCCTAGAAATACTTACAAACATTAACATTGTCTGCAAATATTTAAGGAATCTCATGCTTGTAAACAGAACATGTCTTCATGGAATGCCAGGCTGGGTTATCATTGCACCTCCAAAAACAGAAGTATTCAGTCTGACTTCACTTTTGAGTTAACTGGTAAAAACTCAGCATGAAAAAAATAAAATGCTGGTGTTAAGCCCTAAAAAGCTGTCTCTTAAATATGTGAATAATATAATAATGAAGTTTTTGAGGATTGTTTTGTAAACAAATATAGAGGTCAAAAGATTCATTATTCTAACAGCTCCCCTCCCCTACCCGAAAAGAAAAAAATATCTGATAACTTTAAGGTAGGTCAAGTCCTACATTAAAAAAAGAAAAAAAGAAAAAAAAAAAAAAAAAAAACACACAATTTTTGAAACAAGACCATTATTAACTTTAAAAACTAGTGTTCCACATTTTTGCCAAAAAAGCCTATCTGAAGCCCATCTGACAATGATTATGAAGCATATTGCATGGTAACAAATATCTACAAACCCATGCTCATCTAAAACAAGTGAGCTAAAGAAAGAAATTGAAGAATGTGAATGATGGAAGCATTGTGGGGGGCTGTGTGCATGCGTACCTGCATGTGGGGTGTGGAGGAGTGTAGAGGTATGTGGACATGGGTGGGTATGAGGTTTGTGGGGGGCTGTGGAGGAGAGGGCAGGAGGCTGGGGGTGTTTGTGTGGGTGCATGCGTGTGGTAGGATAAGTGCATGTAGCAGTGAGCAGGGCTCCCCCCAGAGGAACACAGATGTGTGTGGGGATGTGGGGTTTGTGTGGGGTGCGGTGTTTGTGTGACTGTATGTGGGGGAGGATGTGGTTGCATGGTAGGCCCCCTGCATGTGCCCCCCTGAGCCGGTCAGCACTTGCCCTTGGCCTGCAACAGCCTGGAGCCTGCACACCTTGCAGTACCTCCCCGCCACCACCAACAGCGCATAGACCCGGGCCACCCCACACCTCCTCTGCACTGCCTGGCCATGGTGAATCCTGCTGCCCCCTGGGCATGCAGTGGGGCTGGGGCAGCTCCTTCTGGCTGCCCCTGCTGCTGACCCCAGCCCCACAATACCAGCAGGGACCCACACACACAGACCCAACCCAGCATGCCCCATGCCTGCTCCAGACTCACCCGTTCAGGCTCAGCAGCAGCAGCCCCTCCCTCTCCCTCTCACCACTGCTGGGTAGTTCTTGGTGAAGCAACCAAGAGCCCACACCACGCCAGGCTGCCCTGCAGATCTACCGCCATCACTGCCGCCCCTGGGCTGCCCAGTGTAGCAGCAGTGACAGTGCAAAGCAGCCAGAGGGCAGCCCAGGTGGCAGTGACACAGGGCAACCTGGCACCCCACAGGCTCTGAGTGGCTGCACCAAGAACTGCCCAGCAGTGGTGAGAGGGAGGGGCCATTTTCCCCCTGCCACAACCAACAGTACCTGCCCAGCAGCTGCCACTGCTGCTGAGCTTGGACAGGTGAGTCCAGAGCAGGCACAGGGTGTGCCAGTTCAGGGCTGCACAAGCAGGGCCCCAGCATTACCATAGGGCTGGGACCAGCGGTGGCACCAGCCAGAAGGAGCTGCCACTGCCTGGACTATTTACAAAGTCAGTCCAGCTGCGGATCCACTCCAGCCCCACTGTGTGCCCAGGGGGTGGCAGAACATGCCACGGCCAGGCGGTGCCTAGGCCAAGAGGGACCAAGGGGACCTACCACGGGCTGGACAAAGCCCCATGAGCCATATTTTGCCCACCCCTGCACTAGAAGGATTCAGAGACACATCATGGTCAAAACAAGAGGACAAGAGAATAAACTTTATAGAATACAGAATAGATATGGGCAGGGCAAGACTGAATTTGCCATCAGGGCCAGAGAGAGATGAGAGGCTGCAGGCTCTCATAACAGAATCCAAAGGTACACATACACTGCAGCAACAGCACTTCCCAACCAGAATGCTCTTTAAGCCCTTCCTTTGTCCCCCACTGCTTATTCACATGCTCCAAACCCAGAAATGGACTAATAATGGCTCCCCAGATTCATCCTTAGCAGCTGCTTAAGATCTTGTTTTCTGAGGCAAGAGAGCCTCACCAGCCTATTTCTTGACTTGGAGAACAGGGTATCAGAACATAGACGTATTGTGATGACTGTAGATATAGCAAGGATGTGTTCACCTCGAAAGGTTTTTGTCAGTGAAAACACTTACATTACAGGTTTGAGTGACAGGTGTGATAGTGTTGTTCCTTACAGTGATTGAGAAAAAGGTACCGTAGGCCAAGCAGGGAGATTAAGGTGCTTGCATTTAGCAATATTGAACAAACAGGTATCCAAAAGGGAAAGGTTAGCAAGTCAGACCAAGATTTTAATTTGGAAAGAAGGGGATTAGTCTTAAACTGGGAGTCATCAGCATAGAAACTGTGCGCGAATTTCTGTTTACAAGATAATACTACCCAGAGTCCATATACAGAGAGAGAGAGAGAGGAAAAGGGAACAAAGACAAAGGCAACCTAAGTGGAAAGCTGGAGGGCAACTGAAGCAAGTTTCCAAAGGATATGCTGAAGAAGCAATTAGTATAGTAGGAAAATGAGGCAAAAATCAGGTAGATGGAAGTGAATGGAGGGGGGGGGGGAGGAGAGAGAGAGATTAACATGAGCTCTAACTTTCAAACAGAGAAGAAAGTGGGAATCAGGGAATTTAAATGAAAAGCTAGAACACGCTCGTATGGTAAAGAGAACTGAAGGACAGAGGGGCCAAAGAGATGACGGGAAATAATGAAAAAAGGAGTAGTAACATTGGATTGAAACAGGCCTCCAGGACATCAAATCCAGGCCCTTGCATTTGCAGGCAACTACTTAGCCCCAAATTCCTAAAATCATTCCCCCTCCACACCCTCCCATTGCATCTATAAGGCACAAAACCAAAATAACAAAAACCACTTACAACATGCCAGACTTAAAAAGCAGGAGACACAAGGACACTATATTAAGGCCCTGTCACTGCAATGAGGGTGGTTAGGAACCCAGATGAAGACCACGCTCCACACAAAGGTAGGGAAACCCCCACACCATCCTTAAATAATTTCGTCTTCTAGGCCAACTTTAGCAGAAACTGTACAGGCTTACCTTAGGCAAAATGGCATCAGATTATATTTAAGTTATGACACATTTTGCTATACATTTCATTCTGGTTATGTACACTAATGCATGCACATGCTTCCAAAAAATTGGAAAGGAAGATGTACACCCAGTTCTTTTACTTACATAAGCTTAAAACTTAATGAAAAGATTTCCTATGTTTTCCCTAATTCAACAGGGCATATTTCTTCTCACATTGTTAGAGGTAATTGGGGACAGCACTGTCACCAACAGGAGCCAAGTGGGGATTTTAAAGCACTGCTATAGACATGTCAAGAGACAGTAGCTTGAGAGCTTGCTCCCCAAACAGCAGGAAAGAGAGACAGTATGAAAAGGCACTTAATGACCACCTGGCAAGAGAGAAGAGAGATCAAAATCACATAGTTATAGGGGATTTTGTGGCTTACCTAGTCCAATTCTCTGCATATATGGCAGAATTTCCCTTTCCTAAAGCCATCCACGAGAGATGCCTATCCAGTCTCTTCTACGAAACTCCAAAGAGGCTCTGTGACTTGTGTAAGGCAGCTTGTTAGAGAAGATAACAAGGATTGTTTTCCTCTCCTGAGATTTGATCTAAGTCTCCTCTGCTGCAGGTTAAGTGATTTTTCACATTTTTGTAAAAAGGACAACTAGATGAGAGGCAATCCCCTGCTTTTTTTTCTCCATTTCACTATGAACAAGACTAATTTCTAGCGAGCACAAGATGCACGCCGTTTAATTTCTGAAAACAGACAGGTATGTGATCTATAAATAGCACAGAACCATCCTAACAGATTATTATTTGCAGTTAAGTAACAGACTGGAGATTGCTGCACCTACACCTGGGGAGGGAAGGAACCAGGCATCCTACTGCACTTGGCTGAAACGTTTGTATGACCCGGCTGGCAGCAGAGAGCACGGAGAAGGCGTATGTTCCACCTCCCCTAGGCCCCGTCTCATCTCTCGGCCATCCCCCCACCCAACTGCCACACCCCGCACTCCGGCCTCCCGGGGGTACTCCCCGCACAGGGCCGAGCCCGCGCCCCCGCCCCCCCGCCGCCGGCCCCGCCTCCCGGCGGGCAGCAGCACAGCCAAGCCCGAGCAGGGTCCGCCCAAGGGGTGCGGGGACGGGGGTCGCTCTTCTTCCTTTGTCCGGCCGCTCCCTCCACAGGAGCCGGGGCTCCGCGAGGCCGCGAGGAGGGGGAAGCTCTCAAGGGCGGGTCCGCACCCAGCAGCCTTCGGCCAACGGCACCCAGGCTAGAGCAGCCCAGCACAGCTCCGCCGCCCGTGCAGCCCCCGCCAGCTCCCCGCCGTCGCCTGCATCCCCGCCCCCGACTACATCCCCCCCGTACCTTCGTTCGCCAGATCCGCCATTTTACTTCCTTAATCACTCCCACATTGCACTGCGCGGCCGGACGGCCCCCAGCTAACAGCGGACGCGGCGGCGTGACGCTTGTACCGGGAGGCCCGCCCCCTGCAGGAGGAAGTCTTACGCATGCGCCAAAAGGCACGTACTCACCACGCATGAGCGTAAAAGCCCTGTCAAGTCGGCCCCGCGCGCTTGGAAAAATACTGCGCATGCGTCAATCGTCTCACGCAGAGCGCGAGACTCAAGCCCCCGCCGAGAGGACTCCAGAACCCCGCCCACTCCGTTCCCCTCCGCGGCTTGGAGCGCGCGTGCGCAAGAGGAACGCTCCCCGCGGTGTCCTGCCAAATAGAACAAGGCGCGTGCCCCTGTTCGCCGGCGCGGGGCTCCTGCGGCCTCGCCGTGCTCGGGCAGCCGCTGCAGCGCACCTTCCTGCTGGATTCGAAATGCAGTGAGCAGCCAGGCGGGGAGCGACCTCCCCGCCCAAGCCGGCCCTTGCGGCCCTGCTCGGAACTGCCTACCGGTCATCGACGAGTAAGTGCTGACGGGCAGGGCTCGGTGCTGCCGCAGGGCATTGGGTCTGGCCAGGCTACAGCCCAGCGCCCCACGCACCAGTGTCAGCACAGAACTCTGGCAGGGACAACCCTGACAACACGGACCTAACACCCCAACTACCACAGGCAAAGCAGAGGAGCCACAGCAGCCAACATCGTGCTTCTACGAAGTGCTGTCAATATATACTCAAGAGATGTCCTGAAAGAAGGCCAGCCCCCTGTTACAGGGAAAAAAACCCCCACAGTCCTTACCCGTCTGACCATGAGATAAAATTCCTTCATGACAGCAACCTGAGCAGAGGAGCAAGACCCTTTAGCCAGAAACCTAGTTTTGCTCCCAGCAGGAGAATCAGCACAGCCCAATTGAAGTCCCCAGCCTTGGCTGTAATCAACACCCAATGCCTCTGGGGAGGCTTAAAAACCTCCTAACACATATAGCAGGAGGGGAAAAGGGGGCGGAGGAGGGAACAACCAGCAAGCCCAGAAGCATGGGAAATACCCATGGTAGAAAATAGGCATAGCTATATCTAGATCATCCACAACCAGTGTCTGTCCAACCTCTTCTTGAACACCTCCAATGATGGAGAGTCCACAGCTTCCCTAGGCTGTCTATTATTCTCCATTAAATTACAGGCACGAAATCTGAGCAAGACCCTCTGCCCCTTCCACTATTGCCTTTTTTCATGGCATTCACCACCCTGCGGTATGTACATCTCTTCCCTTACAACTGTCTCTTCAAACAGTGGTTTCCCTATTATCAATCCTATTATACCACAAGGGCCAGGCTTACCGTATCACATACAGTTGCATGGTCAGGTGCCAAGCCACGGTCATCTTTTCCCTCAGGTGCTGACACTGGCCTAATCCACACTCCCCAATCCCACATTAATCACTGCCCCAAACTGCACTCACCCCCCCACCCCTGCTTCTCACAATCCTCCATATAAAGCACAATTAGCATCACAATGACCAGCTTGAGTGATCAGTGCTCATTTTTATACCATTATTACAGAGCTACTACCTCTAACCATGCTTGCTCTTTTGCCTCAGTCACTAACTAAACCACACTCCCCCATTTCCTCACATTTGACTCCCCAATCCACTCTCATCCATATTTATTTCCCCTTCCCTGCATGATCATTTTCCCTGATCCAAACACCCTGTTATCTTCTCATTTTCTCAACCTTCTGTCCCACTAATTGATGGCTATCCTAGCAGCCACCATGGGAGGTCACATCCCTCTCATTGGCCGTTATCTAGTCCCATCCTCACAGGAGAATAGGTAGATCCATCTGTCCTCTGAAATAGTGTTGTTTCTCACTTTTTTTTAAAAGGAAAATTGTTCGTGTCCCAAGTCAAATCAGCCAAATCAATTCCAAATCCATGAGTCATTCAAGAACCATATGTGGCCCTACTACCAGCAAGCATCCTCCACCCCTGCCTGGGGCTTCAGATGCTTCAAATCCTTTGGCAGATGCAGGCCCAAGCCCAGAGGCTTGGGGTTTGGATGCCCCTGAGTTTCACTTGCCCTCAGCCGTATGGCCACAGGAGCAAGCTACAGAGGTGTCTTCCATTTCTATAAAGTTGGCATATGCCAAGATCTTCCCACTGGAAGTGAAAGCAGGAGGCTAACTATGCATTACCTCGGTTAAGGTACTACCCCCTGCCAGGAAAGTGGTTTTCCCCTGTGTGGCAGAGAAAAGACACTCGCCACTAGAAGAGACTTACCAGAGGACAACAAGTAGTCCGAACAGTGGCAAGAGACACAGCCAGCAACACTGAGTCATGAGGGGGAAGCCCCAGCCCTGGCATGGGCATGCTTTATGAGTGTGTGTCAATGCCGATTGACTGGGCGGAACCCAAGCGGGGAGGCAAGAACAGCCCGGAGGGAAACCCTGGGAGGACCTGAAGTGAGTTCCTGGGCAGGAGAGAAAGAAGCACAGGCACAGTGTCCCCTGGCAGGGGTGACTGGTGGAAGCCCAAGCAGCAGCAGCGACCCCCAAAGACTGGCTCAGAGGAGCCAGAGAACTTACCTGAAGGACCGGCCTGGCAGACAGGACCAAATGATTGGTTTCGGGATGATGAGGAGCCTGAAAGCGAAAGCATAAGAGATCGTCAGAACCGTGAGTAGATGGGCCACTGAGTATAGCAGCTGTTTGCTCAGCCCCTTTTCTGCCCCATGGAGGGGGGACATCACAGACAAGGGCATCCTCTCCTTTATTGTAGAGGGACTGCTCATTTATAGGTTTTTTTGTTGTTGTTTTGGGATATTGTGTTTGTTGTTTGAGTGCTACAGCTAGTTACCTCAACCTATCAGACAAGGAACTTCAACATCGGGCTGGCACTAGGTGGGGTGTAGGGGAGGCAGAGCCCCAAGGGATGGCGCCAGGTCTGACTGAGGGCTGAAGTCAAAGGGTATGAGACACCCTCACCTTAACAGAATGTGAAACATCAAGTCATGGCAGATGAGAGCATTCATTACCCTTGCAAGCTAGAAGTGGCACACCAAGCTGACCTCCCAAAAGGGCACCGAAACAGCCAGCTGTGTTGAGAAGCGTAAATGCCCAGCCAAAGAATGACACGGTAAATTACACCCTGCCGGTACGAAAACCACCTTGGTAGTCATAGTATTTCCCCAGCCAGGCAAGTAGTGTTGTTTCTCTCTGCCCTGCCCACAGCTACTGACTAGCAAAACAATCACCCTCCAACTCAGTCATTCCTCCTGACACCTGCTTTTGAGTGCCCCCACACACCTGGCCTTGACCAATGGAACTGCTTGACTTTCCTCTGCTTCAGTTACTGGCTAGCAGAACCATCCCAGCCCCCAAAGCCTATGCTTTTCTGCCTGCACTCCCTCTCTTACCTCTATAGCACCTAAGGGAGCACTGCCACTGGTACCTGACCTCCAACCACCTTCCTCTTCTCCCTAACCCAAGACCTCTGGAAATGTTTAAGTTTGCCCAAGAAAGGAAGCCTGAAGGGGGGGATGACCTCTTTTAGCAATGTAGCGATAATATTTGTAAATGCAGACAAGTTCAAGCAATACAGCTAGATTGAAAGAGGAGAAAGTACTTACAAAAGCCAGTGATTACTTGTCAAGCCACAGTGAACCTTGACACCTCTCCCCTTCCTCCAAGCTGAGAACTCTATCTCTGCAGCTTAACTCCTTCCAGAAACGCACAATGTAACAGAAATCAAACAGCCAAAAGGACAGGGCACCACCTTCACAAAACCATGAAATCTCTTTCCCTTCCACTGCTTACCCTAACAGCTAGAGGTAAATGATGCCTTTTAGAGCACACAATTAAAACCTGCAGTGTGTCCATTTAGTCCCTTGCAGTTAAAGTATTAAATGCCCTGGGGAAAGTGTTTAGGCTGTAGCTCTGTGATTCTCAACCAGTGATTCTCAACCCTTTGAGGGTGCTGGAGAGTGCTACACAATATTAGAACTGTTAAGTGTGAAAACACCTCCACATGCTTCACAAGATAAATCCAGAGATTTCAAATAGGAATCCATAGTGTCAAAAACATTCTGACCTGTTGTCTTTTATTAGACCAACTAAAATTTTAGTTGGTCTAATAAAAGCTATCAGGTTTACCCAAAGAACCTTGTCTGCCTATGTCCTTAGACCAACATGGTTACAACCAGCACCCCTGACCTGTTGTGGTCTTTCTCTTTGCAACACAAACATTGCTCTAGAATTTTTCTGCAGTCAAAAAGCAAGTGAAAACTAAGAGCTGCCATTTTCTGACAGGTGCCTTGAATCTAACAAGTGCCTTGAGTCCAATGAGAACCACTGCTGTAGCTTAAGCAGGACAGCATGCAGGAAGGAGAAGGAGAGCTTCTGGAGATTGACTAAGAGTGGCAATGCCAGTAAGGGTATATTCATAGATTCATAGATTGCAAGGCTGGAAGGGACCTTGGAAGATCATCGGGTCCAGCCCCCTGCACCAGGCAGGAAAGACAGCTGAGTTCAGGTGACCCCAGCAAGGTGACCGAATGCAAGGGACTGAATAGACATGCTTCAGGTTTTAACTGTGCTCTCTAATATCACAGATTGATTGGGACAACAAAAAAACAAAACAGGGACAAGACTGAGGGTCATAGGTTCAAAATAAGTGCACCAAGGTGGGGGAAACCATAGATTCATAGATTCATAGATGTTAGGGTCGGAAGGGACCTCAATAGATCATCGAGTCCGACCCCCTGCATAGGCAAGAAAGAGTGCTGGGTCTAGATGACCCCAGCTAGATGCTTATCTATCCTCCTCTTGAAGACCCCCAGGGTAGGGGAGAGCACCACCTCCCTTGGGAGCCCGTTCCAGACCTTGGCCACTCTAACTGTGAAGAAGTTCTTCCTAATGTCCAATCTAAATCTGCTCTCTTCTAGCTTGTGGCCATTATTTCTTGTAACCCCCGGGGGCGCCTTGGTGAATAAAACCTCACCAATTCCCTTCTGTGCCCCCGTGATGAACTTACACGCAGCCACAAGGTCACCTCTCAACCTTCTCTTGCGGAGGCTGAAAAGGTCCAGTTTCTCTAGTCTC